AGATTTTCATATAAATCATTATAATTTAACCTTTAGGTCAGAGCAAAACAAAATGGTAGGTTGCTAAAACTATCAAGACGTAGGCCTTACTCTTTCAATCAAATAAAGAATTTTTACATACGTCAGATATCTGTTAATATCTCTAGCAGAAAAGCGCAAGACTTAGAATAGTCAAAATCTTTGCATAAAAACCACAGCTTTGAGTTGTTTGACAAAAATATTAATTCTCACAGGGCCATTCACTCAGGTGGAAAAGAGGGCCGCATAGGCTTTCGAAATTTCTGGGGAAAGGGGTATTTTCTATGGTCAGTCTCGGATATGAAATACAAAAAGGGAATAAATCAGCACCTTTATTTTAAAAAAGGTTCACCATTGCCTGATACAAAAGTAGTTCTAGGCATATCTGATAAATTCATAATGCATGCACGGTTTTATTTAAAACTATAAAATGTACTGCTATGCACTACCATAAATCCCTCGGTGGATCAATGGCAAGTTAATGGACTTAAACTGACAAAATCCGAGATTGGATTTCTCGCGGTGTACAGAAAAGCTGGCCACAAAGTATAAATGTATAGGTATGGAGTTTCGAATATTTAACTCTCTTCGTAGGATACACAAAACCCAACAAGATCCGAGATGTGTGTTAGGAGAGGGGGTAGCAATAAGTAATCCGCGCACAGATAGCCATTCTTTAAAATGTGAAAAAAGCACGTGCACTCCTAAATATAGATAGTGAACGTTCATGCATACCAGTCTTAAATTAACTGTTTTGTTGAAAGTTTGTTTATCGTTAAGCGTAAAGCTACACAATGAATTATCTATCTTTTTGCTTGCTTAAACCCGATTTTAACGTTATAAGTCCTGGGACTTACCGCTGAGCAACCAAGAGGAGGGCAGTGAAGAGGTTGTTGTTTCAGTGCAAAGCTACAAAATGGTCTATTTGTGCTCTGTCCACCATATTGATTCTAACCCTGTAATTTAATGTTTTAAGTCAATACATTTACCGTTGACCCACTGGGGGATTTTTATCTAAGTAAAGGCAAAACTGAAGGTCGTCAACAGTTTCTCTAAAAGTGATGCCCCCCAGTGGCATAGCAGTATGTATGCGAACTTACAACGCTAGAAACCGGGTTTCTATACCCGTGATGTAGCTTTTTGTGCTTAACTACAAACAAACAAACTAGAAGTGACATTCCATTTGTATGAAATAATTAATTTTTGTTTATTCGTGTTTATCTTTTTGATAGAAATAAAGGAAAATTGAAGGTACTCAAATTTATTTCTATAAATACCAATCATGCAGTTTTTGTAAAGTTTTTATTTTTTTCTGGCGGAAGAAATGTAAGATTAAAGGTAGTCAAGATTTCCCATAAATAACAAGAATTTTCTGGATTGTTGATGAAATGAAGGATTTTTACATATGCCATTGCGAAGTTAATTTTTTCTGTTATGCTTTGATAGATTGTTTAGGCAGTGTATTCATGATGAAATGTGGTTAACTGGACGGCAATTGCCTGTTGTAGAAACACACGTATAGAGGACGACGTTTCGAAAGTCTTCCACCTGAAGAAGAACGGCGGAAGACTTTCGAAACGTCGTCCTCTATACTTGTGTTTCTACAACAGGCAGTTGCCGTTCATTCAACCACATTTCATCAATCTTTTTTT